CACAAGAGATGAGCCTGGTGGGTCACATCTGTAATCCTAGCTACTCTGGTGGCAGAGATCAGGAGGATCATGATTTGAGGCTGCCCAGGCAAAAGGTTCTTGAGAACCCCATCTCAGCCAATGAAAAAGTAAGCTGGGCGTGGTGGTGCTCAGCTACTCCAGAAGTGATAAACAAGAGGATCGCAGTCCAGGCCAACCCAGGCATAAATGCCAGATCCTATTAAAAAAAAAAAGGACTGGGGTGTGGTTTAAGTGGTAGAGCACCTTCTTGGCAAGCTCAAGGCCCTGAGTTCAAACGCCAGTACTGCCAAACAAATACACAAACCCAAAAATGGGACTGAGAGTCGAGGCTTGACAGACCTGGTTGGATGCACACTGAGGTAAAAAGTAAGAACAGTGCCAGGACAGACCAGAGTTTCTGGGTGCACAGGGGTCAGGGTGGCCCAGGAGGCTCGTGCCAAGCATCCTATCACTATCCAGTGCACCCTGCTGGGTGACAAATTTCCTGCCACCCTCTCTTGGTGCTGTCTGCACACTTCACCCTGAGGACAGTCCCTCCCAGGAGATACCCCTCCTCCATGGTCTGTCCACACGTCCACGTGACCCTGCTCATGTCTCCACCCTCCCAGGCTCCCACCCCTAGAATGTTCTTCGTCCTCTTGACCTTCCTGTGTAGTGGTCCCTACCAGAGCCCTTCATCCACCTTCCTCTGGTCTTCTCCACCCTCCTGTTGTCTCTGTTTGATGTCACGTCTCTGGTGGGGTTTCCATGGTCCCTCCTCCCCTGGCACCTCTGTCTGCTTTTTAATCTTTACCATAATTTGGTCAGTCCCTGTAGCAGATACACAGACCTGTCTCCCAGGTGGACTTTCACCAGGAGTACAGTCTGATGGTTCTCCATCTGAAGCAGACCACAGCCCAAGCCTGGGAACTGGTGAATCCCAATTGTCAGCCTCACTACCCCATTCTGACTCAGCGGGGTGGTGAAGAGCCTGAAATGTCACCCTTCTAGGAAGCTCCCGGGGCTGCGGAAGCCTTGGATCCAGGGACCAGGCTCAGAGAAGTCTGTAGAATAAGGGAATGGAGAGGGCTGCCCCTATCCTCTAGCAGTCCTACTCCAGTCAAGGAGTTAGAACTAAGCCTCAGAAAAGTGTTCAGCTGCACTTGTTCCCTGGGCAGGTGACCCAAAGAAGCCAGGGTGACTCACCACTGTGGCCAGCTTCCTGTCTTCTGTGTTGTAGGTGCAAGAAGTGATGAGTACGTCCCCCTGGGGAGCAGCAAGCCAGCAGACACGTCAGCACCCACCCACCTGGACTGGCAGGTGGGTGTTCTTAGCCTGTCCCCATGTGTGACAAAGACACAGTGCGTCATGAGTCATCAGCATCTGCGCTAATGAGGCCCAGCAGACACAGGCCATGGATAGGGCTCAGCCCAGCTGCTGTGGGAGCTGGCTGGTCATGTCACAGGTCCAGTCCCCAACTGCCCTGGGTTTCCCTTCTAAATGACCTCGGCACCCTCATCTCTCCTTGCAGTTCTCAGGACTGGTTTGGCTGACGAGGCTGGAGGATGTGCCATGTGGGGCTTCCTCTCTGATACCGTCCATGAGGGCCAGGTGTGTCCCACTGTGAGAAAGCCCTGGTCCTGCTCTGCTGACTCTTCTCTCTCCCTTCTCTGTTTCCCTTCTTCTCGTACCCCTGGCCTCCCGTACCTGCCTGGGCACTTACCGGGTATACGGACACGATCTTCTTCAACATGCGGATTTCCTTGGGCAGGAAAGAGGGAAGAAGTCAGAGAGCCACAGGCCCCTCTCCCAGCCACCTTGTCCTCCTTCCCTGACCCTCGGGTGTCAGCCCTGCCCCAGCCTTTCTGGTGGAGGCTGGGCTGACTGAGTGTGAGCTCTGGCCAGGAAGGGACAATGTTAGAGCAAGAAGGTGGTGCTACCATCATGGGCCAGAATCTACTACCAGATCCCAAGGGAAAGGGGAGGGCATGGAAGCCTCAGCATGGGTGTTTCTGAGGCCACTGGAGAGAAGACCCAGCAGGCCAGGCCCTACCTGGAAGTGGGGGCTGTAGTGGTTGTCCCTGTTCACAATAGCCTTCTCTTGTCCATCCCGGGCCAGCACGGTGACCACCTTTCTCCCAGTCAGGTGTGTGTGGAGCTGAGAGGCGAAGATGTGGATGCCTGAGGGTGGCAGGGCCTGTGGAGGGCAGGGAGGAGCAGAGTCGGGCCTGACCCCTGAGGGACCCCACAAGCACCAGGGAACAGACAGACTTTCTTTGCTTCCAGGGATGTTTGCATTTTCTAGGTGGTTCTCCTTCCGCTGTTGTGAACCAGGCAGGTGATGGGTAGTGGAAGAGCAGTGGTCACAGTTGTGCAGCAGCAGCCCTGCCTGGCAGCTTCGCGTGGCCTCACTCGGAGACAGGGTGTTCGCCTCCATTCTTTTGTCCTACCCTAGAGCCTGGGCTCAATTCTCCTGAGCAGCAGACCTTTAAGGCGAGCGGCAAGTGCAGTGAGGCCACTCAGGTGAGTGGGTCAGAACCTCCATGTTCTGTGGGCTCCCCATCCAGTGGATGACAAATTCGAATGGTACCAGCTTGTGCTATGCAGTGCCCACCATGTCCCAGGCCCAGGGCAGACCCTCCCGTGCCCTGAAGAATGACCCACCCCATATACAAAACAGCCCAAGGGGTGTCGTCCCTGTGGTCACTGTGACCCTGGTCCATAGGCATGACACTGATCACGGAAGCTGTCAGCTAGCCCTTACATGGAGTGGCCTGTCTTCCTCACTAGGCAAAAGGGAATTTTTCAGAGAATAGTTCCTGTAACCTAGGGCTCACTTTTTTTAGTTTCCTCAAATCCATCACTCTCTGTGACTTAGCTGTGTTCCTTCCCATCCTTCTCTGTTCCCTCCAGATTCCCAGTGGCTATGAGAGGTCCAGGTGCAGGAGGCCCGTCACTGAACGACCCTGGGCCTCTGTACTTATTGCAATCATCTGCCTTCACTCTTGGACTGTCCTGCTTTCATTAGCTGCAGCCCCTACCTTTGTCATTAACGAGAACTTTGTCCCTGACTTGCAGTGATTTCAGGACTGGGATCCCTCAGGGCCACATTTGTGACAGTCCTGTGCCTGAGCCCCTGATACCAAGGAGGTTCCCTGGCTTTGCAATGACCCTTTGGTCCCCTGAGGCTGATTACCATCCAGAGATACCCATGTGACAGGTGGAGGGAGAAATATGCTCACTGGGGACAATGGGCCCCAGAAGTACACCAAACAGCTGCCCACCGAGGCTGGGAGCCTTGGGCAGGGAGCCACCCCACAAGGAACAATTCCCAGAAACGAAATCCACTGTAAACCTTATTTTGAAGCAACCTGCTGCTGTGGGAGAGCTTTCAAAGTCAGACAGACTTGTATTTGCCTCCTCACTCTGTACTGATGGCGCTGTGAACTCTGCAGGCCTCTGCCTCCTCATCAGTGAAATAAGTCCACACTTTTCTGGCAGGTCATTGTGAGAAGCAGAGATGCAGCCCAGGAGAAATTGTGGGTGGGACACACCCAACAGATTGTAAAATCACATCCCTGATATCAGAAGATCTCCCAGAAAGGAATGGTAGGAAAGGTAACAACCCACCAGGAAAATGGCTCAAAGGGCATGGAGAGGAGTGCACAAGAAAGAAAACAGACAGCCAAGGGGCAGGAAGGAGGCTCCAGGTCCACATAAGGGATGGGGGAGGAGTGGGCTTTGCACAGGACAGGGATGGAGGCCCTCCAGTTCCACGAAAGGTCAGGAAATACACCGAACAGCACTGGGGTCACTTTCCAATGATGCAAAAATATTAAAACTATTAGCACAATGGATCAGGATTGTGCATGTGGGAAGACAGACCTGCTGCAGGGGACATCATGAGGTCATTACACTGGCCACTCACAGGGCCACTGAGCAGTGACTCCACTTCTAGACCCACCTGAGGAGGCATTTTCCCTGCCCAGGATTCCCTGCGGCTTCTTTCCAGGGTGAGAAGTGGGCCAGCCACTCACCAGCTGGGTGCACTTGTCCGTGCAGTAGCCCGTCAAGATGAAGGCGGTCTCTTGTGGTGGGATGGCCATCACTGGCGTGTACACCAGGCCCAGCTCCATGATGCCTGCGTCAAATTGCCTCAGTGTGGACGTGTAGTACAGCCGGATGCCTGAGGAGTCACGCCGGCCTGGGGGAGGGGGACAGGGTGAGCAGCGGCCCTCACAAGGCCCCTGTGCTGGTGAGCCTGGATGCCCTTTCTGATGGAATGGACCAGGAGGAATCGGGACAGGTGCTACTGTACTCCCTGGGAGCTGTTAACATGTTACTTATCACTCCCATCAGGATTTTACATGGTAAGAACCATCATCCCCATTTATAGACAAAGAAACTGAGGTCAGATCTTGGTCAGAAGTCCCAGCCTTAGACCACAGGTCTGGGAAGCAGCCAAGCTGAGACTTGAGCCCCAGCCTGGCCGGCTGGGGTGCAGAGCATTGTGGGGGGGGCCTGGCCAACCTGCTTTCATCAAAGCCAAGGTCATCTGCTTTCATTGTCTTCCTACCTCCCCCCTACCCCAGCATCCAAACTCAAACAGCTCCTGGATCTCTGAGCTGATGACATCAGAGGATAATAATAAAAAAAGAGAAGCAATTGGTTAAAATTCAGATGGAGATTAAATAATGAGATAATTGTGGGATTTTGATATTTATAGAAAAAACAGCACCCATGTCAAGATTTGTGCAGTGACAGGAGCGCCCCTATATTTGGTAAAGGATCCATAAATACAACTGGGTAATCAAGAAGAGACAGACTGCCCTGGTGCTTAAGGAGTTTTTGGAAACCCATGTGCTTTCAGGTTTAAATGAACAATAAACCCCATATCATGCTAAGGCCTGAGCGGCCTTGGCCTTGGTGCTCTCTACGTGCATCGTAGATAATTCCTGCGGTGGCAGCAGCACTGCTTCTGCAGCCAGGAGAAAGGTCACTGTGGCATTAGTTGAGCACAGCCCATGCCCACATCCAGCTGGGAGCACTGGGCGCTGAGCTTTTTCCATCTTCACAGTGGTTCCAATCTATCAGAGTGTTTCTGCTCCTCACTTGCACAAATGAAAATAAGCGTCATTCAAAAAGAGAGACACAGAAGGTGGGAAGGAGGAGTGGGGAGAGAAGGAGACTGCATTTGCTGGAAGATGCTCTAACTACACCAAGAAGGAAACATTTTCAGGTCCTGATAGGTGTCAATTGCATTCTCATCCTAAAGCCTGACTCTGACTGGTGGCGTGACTCAGGCTGTTGAGTGCCTACCTGGCAAGTGCAAAGCCCTGAGTTCAAATTCCAGTATTGCCAAAAAAGTTGATTCTAAAGACTGACTCTGGTCATCTGCCTTCAGGCACAGGGTGATCCAGCATTGCCTGCTCTCTGCCCCCAGCTCCCCTTCTCCCACACCTTGCACTGCAGCCAAGTGCAACCACCTGTGTTCCTAGGATAGGATCTCCACCTTGCAACTTCCTTACCCACCTCTAGAACATGGCACCCATAACTTCCCTTGTCCTCCAGGCCATGGTAAGTGCCACCATGATGCCACCCACATCACATAGACTCACATCCTTTTATGCAGGCCTTAACAAACTCTGACTGAATTAAGACATTTCCTCTGCACTTCGTAGGCTGTACACCAGACACAAGAAGTAGGAAGGGGCAAAAGTGTCCTGGCCCTGGCACTTCAGAGCTGATTGGATAGGTGGGCTGCTCTCTGACCCACAACCAGGCCAGGGAAAGAATGTGATTCAGCGCAGGGCGGGTCTTTTGCCTTTAGGATCTAAGGCCTGCTTTGCTGAATTGGGGGACAAGGTCACCTCCTGCGTACCTCATGGGATTTGTACCTGTAAGGACTTGTTTTCACTGAGGGTTGTGTACCATAAGCTCAGCAGCACTACACTAGCCAGGGCAGACATTGCCAATCCATTGTAGCACTGTCCTTTAGGGTCAGGCATGGAGTCCCAGGCTGAGCACCATCCCCATGCTGCTGACAGCTCTAGGGGGCCTATGGGCAAAACCTATGCCCAGCCTGCTCTGGAAGGTCAGAGGGACAAGGTCCTTTGTCAGGGAGGGGCAGTTGAGAGTAAGGGCGGCTGACCATCTGAGCAGCCTCTAGGAAGTTAGACTTCAAAGGGACTGGTGCTGGGGCCTGCTCTGTACTCTCTCCTCGGCCCTTGAGCTCTGGGGTCAGCACACCCTAAACTGGCCTCCTGCTCTCACTAGTGCCATGCAGTGAGGGGTAGGGACTGCACTGACTTATACTGTCCTGAAGTCGAGTGACTTGTTATCAAGAGAGGCAGCATGGAGACAGCTTTGGAACAAGGCCAGCCTCTCCAGGTTCAAGTGTAGGCTCAGCCATCACAGGACTGTGTGACCAAGATGGGCCAGAGCCAGGCCTCCTGGTCTCAAATCCCTACCTCCTCCATGCCCCAGTAAGGGTCCCTCACCTCTGGGTCTCCATTTCCTTATTACCTGATGTTCCTGGTATGTGGTGGCTGGATGGCACCACCAGGATGGCAGAGGGTACTGCACAGACAGGGAGGACAGGTATGAAGCTGGGCTCATTGCATGCTGGGATGCCTGCTGCCGGACACTGGAGACAAGTGATGAACAAGCTACCAGGTCCTGCTCCTGGGACCTGTTTCCCCCACCCCGGGATGTTGCAGGTGGTTAGTGAACAAGGGGCACAGAACTCTAAAGTTGATACAGGAAAGAGTAGGAAATACTCTGGAGTTAGTAGGTATAGGTAAGAACTTTCTCAACGAAACCCCAGCAGCACAGCAACTAAGAGACAACATAGATAAATGGGACTTCATAAAACTAAAAAGCTTCTGTTCATCAAAAGAAATGGTCTCTAAACTGCAGAGAACACCCACAGAGTGGGAGAAAATATTTGCCAGCTATACATCAGACAGAGGACTGATAACCAGACTATATAGGGAGCTTAAAAAACTAAATTCTCCCAAAATTAATGAACCAATAAAGAAATGGGCAAGTGAACTAAACAGAACTTTCTCAAAAGAAATGCAAATGGCCAAAAAACACATGAAAAAATGCTCACCGTCTCTAGCAATAAAGGAAATGCAAATTAAAACCACACTAAGATTCCACCTCACCCCTGTTAGAATAGCCATCATCAGCAACACCACCAACAGGTGTTGGTGAGGATGGGGGGAAAAAGGAACCCTCTTACACTGTTGGTGGGAATGTAAACTAGTACAACCACTCTGGAAAAAAATTTGGAGGCTACTTAAAAATCTAGACATTGATCTACCATTTGATCCAGCAATACCACTCTTGGGGATATACCAAAAAGACTGTGACACAGGTTACTCCAGAGGCACCTGCACAGCCATGTTTATTGCGGCACTATTCACAATAGCCAAGTTATGGAAACAGCCAAGATGCCCCCACTACTGACGAATGGATCAAGAAAATGTGGTATTTATACACAATGGAATTTTATGCAGCCATGAAGAAGAACGAAATGTTATCATTCGCTGGTAAATGGATGGAACTGGAGAACATCATTCTGAGTGAGGTTAGCCTGGCCCAAAAAGACCAAAAATCGTATCTTCTCCCTCATATGTGGACATTAGATCAAGGGCAAACACAACAATGGGATTGGACTATGAGCACATGATAAAAGCGAGAGCACACAAGGGAGGGGTAAGGATAGGTAAGGCACCTAAAAAATTAACTAGCATTTGTTGCCCTTAACGCAGAGAAACTAAAGCAGATACCTTAAAAGCAACTGAGACCAATAGGAAAAGGGGACCAGGAACTAGAGAAAAGGTGAGATCAAAAAGAATTAACCTAGAAGGTAACACCCACGCACAGGAAATCAATGTGAGTCAATGCCCTGTATAGCTATCCTTATCTCAACCAGCAAAACCCCTTGTTCCTTCCTATTATTGCTTATACTCTCTCTTCAACAAACTTAGAGATAAGGGCAAATAGTTTCTGCCGGGTATTGAGGGGGTGGGGGGAGAGGGAGGGGGTGGAGTGGGTGGTAAGGGAGGGGGTGTGGGGGCAGGGGGGAGAAATGACCCAAGCCTTATATGCCCATATGAATAATAATAATAATAATAATAAACAGAAAAAAACCAACCAAACAAACAAACAAACAAAAACAAACAAGGGGCATGGCAGGGCTGGTGTGCCACATGGGTCACACAGGAGGCTGAGGCTTTGTTGTGGGTGCTGCCCTGAGTACACACCAGGCCCTATTTCCTTTTTGACTGGATGTTCTGAGTGCAAGGGCTTCTGGGAGGCGTGATCTTGGCATTCCTACCTTGGATCTTCAGTGGGTTATGGTAGTGAACTTCCAGGCGCAGATATCTGGAAGATCCAGGCCCCCCAAAAGGAAGGCCGGCTTCTTCCGGGTAGTAAAATGCCTATAGGGAGAGGGTTGTCAGAGAGGGATCTGTCAGGGGCTTGAGGACAAACCTGTCCAACTGCTGGGGCCTCAGCTATGGGGTGGCCTTGGTGGGTGGCTCAATTAGAAAGGCTCTCCTGTTGCTGGGTGGCCCTTTCCATCCCACACACATGGCCCAATTAGGAACATTCTGTCTGGAGGGTGCTGAGCCCGAGCTGAGCCTCACCCCCAACACCTCCAGCCCGTGTCCTCTGGATTGGGGAAGGGTGGCACTGATGAAAGCTCAAGGACTCAGCCTGTGGACAACTTGCCCTGGCACTAGGCAGCCCTGGGACCACCCTGTGCACAGACCATGGGTCCCAGTGGGGAAGCAAGGCGGCACCCGCACAGTGTATACCTCGTGGGCACCTGCATTTGCATAGAAAGTAATGCGGGCTGGAAGACGTCTTTGTGCCCCAAAGAACAGTGGGAGTCAGACATCACAGAGCAATGGGAGACATTTGGCCCCCTCTTGAGGCCTCTCAGGCGGCAGCATTGAAGAAATGGCACAGGGGGCTGGGAGCCTGAGATGCTGGAGGAGGCCCAGGGGGTGCCATGCTGAAGGAACTGTGGTGCACGCACCTTGGCACCCAGGGCCCAGGCAGCCAGCACGTGACGGCAGTAGTTGAGGCGCTCAGGCTTCATCTTGGAGTCACACGGCCCACTGAAGTGGGGGAAGCTCTCGAACTCTGCAGCACACTGGAAGACCTCCATGTGGTGTACCAGGGCCTCATTGCCCTCTGTGACAATGGCCTCATACTGCAGAGGGACAGGCCAACTCTGAGCTAGGGAACCAGACACCGGTCCACCTGCTCTCCCTGCCTGCCCTTGTGGGCCTCCGTCTGCCCAGCTGTAAAATGGGAGGGAGAAGGAGCCAGGAGACTTCCAGAGGCACTGCAGGGACCCTGGGCTTGGAGGGGGAGCGACCAGTCCAGAGCCACACAGAATGTGCCCAAAGCCCTGAAGAGTGAAGAAGTAGAGACTCACACAGACCATTTGTAAATAGGGTGGGAACAAGAAGGCAGCTGTCCTCATGTGCTCAGGGCAACTTCTGGGCAAGGACACTGAGTCCCTGTAGCTTCTTCAGGAGGCAGGGGTGGCCCCCAAGCACATTCTCACAGCCAGGCCACACCCTGCTGTGTGACTCTTGGCACTCACATGACCTCTCTGGGCTGAAATTTCTCATTGGAAACAGGGGTCAGTACCCAGAGCTGGATACTATTGTGATAAAGTCCCTAACCATTCTCCCTGCCCCCGCCAGGCAGACAGCAGACATCGACTAGCTGTATCATTACTGTGACGACCCTGTTGTAGAGTCACTGAACTGAACTGCTTTCTCATGAGGGAGCAGGTGGCCTGAGACAGACAGATTCACAGCAGTTCCAGTCCTGAGGGCTGATGCAGAAATCGAGACTCGTGGCTTTGGCCACGGAGGGAAGCTGGGAGCACAGAGGCCCTAGGGGTGGGGACCAGCCATACTCACTGCTCTGCTGCTAAAGGAGGTCAGGCCAGTGCCTCGGGTTTGGGCAGTAAGAGGATACCTGGTGCAGCAAGCATGTGGACACTCTTTGGGGCAGGGAAAACTGGGGCCCAGGTGGAAGGCAGAGTGGGTATGGACCCCCACCTACCATGACAATATGGTGCCGGGAGAAGCCCTGGGGCAGCTCGGTGATGTAGCACCAGTACGTGGTCTCCTGGCCAGGGATCAGGACATCAGGGGAACGAATCTCCATTGTGCGTGTGTCTGCGGGCATGGCTGGGGTGGGGACTTCAGGCTTCAGGAGCTGCACCCGCTGTAGCCCTGTCTGCAGGCCGGAGGTGTTGATGGCCTCCAGTGACCGGAATGGCTCCTTCAGGATTCCGTACACCAAGTGGACGGTGCCATCCTGCAGTCCAGACAGAGTCTAGTCCATCACCCACTCAGGGCCCCAGAGTGGGCTCCTTGGTCACCAAGGTGAAGACATGTCCCTGCCCACCCACACCTGCCAGGCGACATGCCTCACTCTGGGCTCTGCAAATGAGGGGATCTTTGAAGTACTGTGTGTCCCTCACTGGGCATAAATTCCAGGCTGACCACCTCCAGAGCAAATTTGCATCAGGCTACAAATCCATTTTGTACTATCTGCACTCACTTAGCACCCAATCATCCATCCAGTGACAACTGGACCCCACAGTGAGCCAGGGGCCAGCTAGTGACCCCAAGGTCACTGGGCATGGGGACAGGTCATCTCCTCTGGTCAGATCAGCCCAGCCAGCCCAAGGAGTCAATGCTCCTTATGAAGTGAAGAAACCAAGCTGGGACTCCCTGGCAGTGACACTGAACCTGCAAGTCTGCCCTGTGTAATTGCACCACCACCTGCTCCACTGAGCTGGGCAATGCAGACAAGGGAAGGTCATTTGCACAGTGCTGAAGGTCACAGCCAGACTCAGTGGAGCAGGGGCTGTGTATGGAAACAGGTGTCCCAGGGTAGGATATGCTGGAAATGCCTGCATTGTTTTCTGGGTGCCAGTGGACATGTACCCATGGTGGATACATGAACTTGTAGGGACCCTGTGAGCTTCTCTCTGCCAGGGCATCTTAGAGTTCCAGGCAGAGGCCTCCCTGCCCAGCCCAGAAGATCTGGACTGAGCACAGGTGGGCATTGGCCTGCCCCATACCATTCTTCAGAGAGGTTCTCTGTCCTCATTCACAGGGAAGGTGGGCCATCCAGGAAGGCGAGGACTCAGATGACCTACTGGAGTTCCCCAGTTGTGTCCTGGTGTGCTGTGAGCCCCTAGGTAGGTCTACTTCCTCCCTGGCTACAGTCTCCTCATCTGGCAAACCACCAACTGTTCCTGTTTTTCTAGATCCTGCATTTTCTTGTTTGACATCCATTAATTAACCACAGGTCCAACCACGGCTGCTTATGCCCGCCCTGTGATCTAGCCTTCCCGGGTGGGTGAAGATAGTCTTCACCCACTATCTCCCACGTTGCCATCCACTTCCCTATCTGACCCTCACACTCCAAGCCAGTGTTTCCCCAAGGCCAGGTGAATAGAGACACCCTAAAGCCTAAAGCAGGCAACCTGCAGCCAGAATTAACTTGAACTGTACTGTTTCCCAAGACCAGCTCTGCCTTTGCCACAGGAGCCCCGGAAGGGTCTCTTGCCCATGCTCTCTCTGCCTGCTTCTGCCTGGTGCCAAGCAGGGTGCTCCCCTCCTGGGTCTGCGAGGCATGCTGGGCTCTCTCCCTGGAAACTGCAAGTAATAAGTCTCTTTCAGTGGCAGCAGCCTCTCCACCTTATCACTCAGCCACCTCCATAAAATACGGCCTGAGCTCAGTCTGCCAGCCCATGCCACTGCCATCCCAAAGGATTACACACAATGACAGTTGTTGAAACACATCAATGTTAAAAGGGTTTCCTCTTTCATGGCAAGGAGAGCTGTCTTTTCCTAACTGGGGGATCTTGGACCACGGTGGGAAACCTATGGTGTTTTGTTCAGGCCTCACCTGTTCAGCATCATGTAACCCCCTTCCCCATTTTATAGATGGGCAAATTGAGGTCTAGAGGAGAAAGGGACCTGCCCTGAGTCTCACAACAAATTGGCAATAGGGCAGGGTGAGGATCCAGGTCTCCTGGCTCCTGAAGATCCTGGACCAGTAGAGAAACACACAGATCTAGTCCAGCGTGAGAGGGTTCAAGCTAGACCCACGCCCAGAAAGCACATCATCTATAATACCACAAAGAGCTACTTCTCTGAGGGCTTAGGGGCTGCTAGAAGACCTGGACACCCCCAAACTGCCGGGACCTATCCTGTCTGCTTTTCTCTCTCTGCCCTGTGGCTCAGGTCCAGGCCCCAGCTTCCTAGGGCAGGAGAGGACCACAGCCAAGCAGATGCAGGCAGGGCCAGTCAGCTCACATTACCGTGCTGCGGTCCCCTACCTCAATGAGGTAATCCTGGGGGTCGCAGGTGGCAAAAGGCCTCTTGAACAGCAGGGACAGGCCGTCTGAGGTCCCCTGTGCCCTCAGCAGCTGGTAGTCCTGCTGGGCATCCAGATGGAGCTGTCCTTTCTGGTCACTCCAGGCATCCTGCAGAGACAGGCTCAGTGTCTGAACGTGAAGGAGCCAATTACCTAGTCCCCTCCCACTTCCTATGTCCATTCGTGCATGGAGACAGTGGTGCTGAGCCCATCTCCCTCACTTCCTCTGCAGCGGGATACCAGAGCTGTCAAATGTCAGCCAGGTCTGGCTGCCTGAGCCTTATGGGGGCTCCTAGAGGTAAGACTCCCAGGCCTTGGGGTGCAATCCAGGTATTATTAAGAAGGTGCCAGAGGCTTCTAACAGGACAACACAAAATTAGGAATGGGACCTTGAACCACTTCTGCTACTATTCCTCCAGGAGGAAGGGGTCATGGAGCACAGAGAAGAAGAGAAAGGGCAAGATGGGGGAGCAAGAGAGAAACCAAAGCAGCATTGGGGGGGCCAACTCCCAGGAGCCCACCCTGTACTTGTACAACACTAAGAGCAGGTGCCACCTTAAATACCCCTCTCAGGTGACTGACTGAACTCATCCTTCTCCTTGCCTGGAGAAACCCAGGGAAAAGAGACAGGCTGTGTTTTCCCAGGATGGTTTCTAGAATCTGGATCACTAACCCCCTCTTCCTTCCCAGCGTCCTCCATTGCTTCCCCTGCCTGGGGCTCGCAGGCTCCAAGGCCATAGCAGGCCAGTGCAGGGGACAGGAGTCCACCTGGGAAGGCAAGCTGAGAGGTTGCACACAGGAGCCTTCCCCAGCAAGCACGCCTCAGGAACACCATGGGCCCTGGGTTGCAAGGGTTGGGAGTTCTTTTCTTTTCAATCCTCCATCCAGGGCTATAGCATGCTTTTTTTCATTTCTTTGAGGAAAAAGAAACCTGCAAACAGTTTTGCAAAACGTTCTCTAGAGGAAAGTGGTGCCAAGAAGCTCCTGTGAGACCCTGCTGATTTTTGGAAGGACCAACTTGGAACCTGGGCAGAAAGTTAGCTGGTGATATTTCAACTAGAAATCAAGAACGTATTAGCTGAAAAGGAGGAGCCCCGAGTCAGACACTTGTCTTCACAGGACTTAACCTGGTGGTGTGTGGAAGTGAGGCTGCTTCCTTAGCAGCCCAGCAACACAGGCAGAGGAGCCGCTGGGGAAAGGAGCAACGCCCTACATGCAGGCAAGAATCCAAGCTGGATGCAGGGGCTCTGCTGTTCCTGCAGACATCTACAGCTCAGTCTGGGCTGTGACCCAGGGCTACTGTGCAGCCCAGCTCTACCCTGTCTTGTGGCCCTGACCAAATGGCTCCTGATGGCCCCACTGCAGTGCCCTACCAGTGAAATAGCCCCCAGTCAGGTATGGGGGTTCAATGGAGCAGGCTCCACTCCAGGACCATCATCACCAGTGGCTCATGGGAACTCACAGCCCAGATGGTGGAGGAGGACCACTTCTGGTGGCACAACTGAGGCCAGAACAGGAGCTGGCTGCCCTACTGAGGTCAGGAAGGTGCCCTGAATTTAGAGGGAAAGGTCTGACCCTCCTGTGCCTGTGCCCCAGGAGAGTTGGGGTTTGTTCCTGGATTGGCCCTAGTGGCCTGTTTCTGCAGAGGAAGGAAGAGCCAAGACCCAGGGGGCCATGGGGCTCTTCCTCCTCTGGTGGCACCTGCAACTTGTTGGGGGCCCCCAAGGTCACTCCAGTTTGAAGGTGGACTTTCCCCTTCTGCCACCCCTGAAGGCAGAGTGGAGGAAAATTTTGGAGGGAAGGAGTTGAGAGTGTCCTGACAGCTGAGTTCAGCTGGGTGTATGTGTAGGGGGTGTTTTTCTTGCCTGGAGGCGGGGGGGCGTCTGCACCTGCTCCCACCCCCTCTGTGTGCAGCACAGAAGGTCTGTGTGTGCTGTGTCCTGGTGCTAGTTTGCATGCCACCCTCTGTGCGAGGCCACATGCCACCACCCCACCCACGTCAGGTGTGTGTGCACTGGTGGCGTGGGGCGTTGTTTGCACAAGCAGGAGACAGACATGGGACCTGCACTCACACAGTGGGGATGTTGTGTGGCCTGGGACCCCTCTGTGTGTGGTTACGCTACTTGGGGTTGCCCTACTCCATTATTTGGGGTGTGCAGACCAGGACTGAAGGAAGCACCTGCTTCTCATTTAGTCCCCAATACGGTGTCTCCAGGATGCTCAAGCTGGGGACACAGATCTGGCCCAGATGGGAGCAAACTGAAACACTGAGAGGCAGTATGAAAACTTCCCTTGCTGGGCCAAAGAGGGTGAGCGTGGGAAGAGGGCCAGGGGTGCTGTCAGGGGTAAGGTGGAGAGAGCCAGGAGGGAGGGAGGAAGGACTTACTGCAAAGTAGGCGCTGTCCCCGTTGGTCCAGAGCACAACAAGGTCAGCATTTTCCAGCTCGCCACGGTCCGACATCCCAAACAGGACCCCAGCCTTGAGCCCATGCACCAGGAGCTGAAAGTGGATGGCCTTCTGGACGTAGCTGACGTTCCATGAGAGCTCCAGAGCTCCCTCGGGGTCCAGGGGGATGTGGTAGGGGAAGGGGCTCTCTGGGGGTGCCGAGCCCTGCAGTGCAGCAACCAGGATGACCAGGAAGATGGCCACTGCTGTGCCATACATGGAGGCTGCCTCACGCGCACTGGGGCTGGGGAGGCAGGTCCAGCGACACGGGCGGCTGGGGGCCTGCATGGCTGGGGTGAGCTCACAGGCCCCACCTGGCCATTTATGCCCCGGCCCCTGTGAGGGTGGGTCCAGCCTGCACTGGTAATCACATTTGTCTGAAGGGGAATTCAATTGTCCGGTGGCCCTCCCACCAGCCTGCCCCGCAGGGCAAACACTTGGCTCTCACCCTCCCCTAATTGGCGCTAATGACACATGGACATCTTCAGGGGGAATCGAAGCTGACCTGCTGATGTCCTTCTGCAGAGTCTCTCAAGAGCTGTCCGGAAAGTGGCTCCTCTCTGCAGCCACAGGCCTTGACGACGGCCTCCAGCCAGGTGCTGTGGACCACTTCACGTCTGCCTGGTCCCATGTTCAACACACGGGCATCTGAGAGCCGAAGGGCCTTGCCAAGGTGACCTGTGAGGGCCTGGCGCCTGGCTGTGGGCTTGGGCCAGTGAGCCACCTGGCTTCTACAATGCTGGAGGGTGGACAAATTTCACACTAAGAATAAACGTCAGTTCCCAAATAGTCCGTGTTTACACGCTCTCCCCACGGCCTGCTGTTCCCACTTTTGCTCCTCTATTTCCCCACTAGCTCCAGCTGGTGCCAATGGCTGCTCCAGAAGGCATGGGTGTGTGGCTGGGGGTGGGATACATTGGTGTGTGGTACACTGCTGGCGGGCAGAGGGGGAGGTGCGTGGGGGATGGGCAGGCAGCAGTGGCTAGCTGGGCAGATAGTCTTTAGGGAAAGGAGGGTGAGGGATAAGCTTGCTCCCCAGACTCTGGGGTACTTAAGCCCGTGATTTCCTCTTGCCTGGACTAGACCTGCCCTGACCTTGTACTCTCTTAGGCCAGCTAGATCCCAGCACTGCTTCTCCCATATCTACCACAGGGCCTTTGCACAGATGGGCTCACCAGTCCCAGTGTCAGTGGACCGTGAGCCCTCTCTCCCTCTTTCCCACCCTCCATCTCTGCTTCTCTTTTTCCTCTGGATTCTCCTTCCTTTGGAGAAGCAAAGAATCCAACCATGCATTAATGCCATGGGCCCAACTTCAAGTCCTGAAATATTAATACAGGCAAACCTTCAGCCTCCAGGTGGAGAGGTGGGTTCTGCTCTGAGCTCTGTTCCCAGGAAGGAGCAGAAGGTGAGATTTGGAGGCAGTGCCAACCTTGGCCTGAGGAAGCCTCTAGAGCAGGCAGGTGCTGTTCTGCACACACCAAGACAATGGTCATAAATACAGAGGCAGAGTGCCTCAGGACCACCTGGGGCTCCTCCAGAGGCCAAAGCTCTGGGATGGATCCTGCCCAACTCTTCTGAGAAGCACTTCAGCCCAGAGGCTCTGCCACTTGGAAGCAAGGACATCAGATGTCAAGGCTAATCACTCCTGGAGTCTCCTCAGCACAGAGAGGCTGAGAGCAAGGTCCAGGACAGGTGGAGCCTGGAGAGGGAGCATAATGGCAGCAGGCCCTGGTTCTCTCCTGGATACGGGGCACAAGCAACAGTTGCTTGGAGCTCTGAGGAGGGAAGGCGTGTGCGTCTCTTAGTAAACAGCGGAGTGCCAGGCACACACGTTTATTTTTAACAGGATTCAAAAGACATTCTCTTTCTTCAGCTCAGAGCCAGGCTGGAGCGCTGCCTTCCTCCGCATTTGAGAGATGATTCGGCTGATTTCAGAAGTAACAATTACTAAGTCCCAGTAGTTAGCAGGGGAGAGAGGCAGACCTGTTTTGCTGACCTCAGGGCTGGGTCTGTCACTGTCTGCATCTGACACACTGGAGATGAAACCACAGAGAGGAAAAGCAATGCACCCGGGATCACACAGCTGCCAGGGGCAGAGCAGGCTGGCCCCCAGGTCAGGGACCCCAGGCGGGTTCTGTCTGTGGGGAGTGGGGGGACTACGCACCCTGGCAGCCAAGGTCAGAAAAATCCCACTGTCGTCAGGAGGGTGTGCACAGCAGAAATGCAACCTCAGGGGAAAGGAGCGGGTGCCGCGGATGACGTGCTCTGTGCCCTTCCTTGCGTTAATGGATGTTGAAAAGGAGCGATCTGACCCCGGTGTAGGAAACAGCACTCAGCTGTCCTCATCGGTGCCCTCATCAGAGGGGACACCTGCCTGCCCCGGGTGCTTTGGGACGCACACAAATGCTGAGCAGGTTTTTGGGGTGCCCTTTCCCTGGCTTTCTCCCCACCCCCACCCTTGCTGACTACTGGGGTTTGTCGGTGCAAGTTGCCCTCCAAGGGTGGGGGCAGGCCAAGGTGGCACGTGGGGTGTCACAGTCACCACATCAGGAAATAAGCCCTGTTTGTCGCTGCTCAGCGCTTGGCTTCCTTCCAAAGCGCCTTGACGGCTGACCGCATTTCGAGCCAATTTCAGCATTTTAATAAGCCCCTTTTCTTCTGCATCTCTCTGACGCTGGCGGCCTTAGAGAGCTGTAATCCCCGATGGGCCCTGCCACGTGAGGCCAGCTGTGGTTGACTTCCTGACCGTGGGCGGTGACAGCCTGCAGTGCAGCAACTGGGGTGGGGGCACTGAAGCTGGGTTGGAGAACTGAGGCAGACAGCCCCGGCCAGACTGCTCTCCAACAATGGTTGACCACGGGAGTGCATCCCCCTGTGTCTAAGGGAACTCCTTGTGGCAGGGAAAATCAGCACTCATGCTGACAGCCCCAGGTACACTGGCTTGTGATGGGCAGCACGCCTCACTTGGGGAGCTGGCTTCTGTGTCCTTGTGCTGAGCACAGTGTCTGTGGTAGGAAGGCTGAAGACGCCCACCCTCCCAGGTCACCTCCCCCAGGGGGGTCAGGCCTGCGGATAAATGCAGGTTGGCCTGAAATCAGGAGCACATGGGACATCCATGGCCTGATGTCTGTCCTGGGACACCTGCAGGGTGGCCACTGTGGGATCAATAGGAGTTCCTTGGCTGGGACATGGCAGGGAGGTGCCCACTGGCCCCAGAGTGCTGAAGGACAGGGGGACACTGACTCAGAAGGCACTGGTGTTGTGGGCATGGGTGTGGCACTCCATGGGAGCCCACCCCGCAGTCCTGGAGCCCATGCAGTACCCTGGAGCTCCCCGCCCCCTTAAGGCCCAGGGAGGCCTTCTGTGAGCAAGTCTGCTACTCACTGAAGGGTAGGTGTCGAGGGTCCAGCACGTCTTCTCTGACTCCATCTCTGCTGAGTTTAAAGTGTCCTGAGAGGGATGGGGGTAGGTAGACCTTCAGACCTGCAAGGCTTGCTCTCCCTCACCACCCCTGCCACACACACACACACACACTCATGGGCTGTGCTCCCCTCTTGCTCTGAGTCATTTCTTTGGGTAGCCCCAGAAGCTGACCCTACAGCAAGAATTGGGATGCAAGCAGGCCATATGAAAAGGGAGACCCCAGGACCCCAGGGGATGTCCACCAAGCACGGAAGGCAGAGGGCTCAATCCCAAGGGCAGAACTGTCACAGTGAGGGTGAGGAGACTGGAGAACTCCCTCCTCCCTCTCTCCTCATAGAGAGAAGGCAGCTCCAGGGCACTGGTGCCCAGAACTTCGGGGCTGCCCCAAAGATGGGCTGAGCCCACTGCCACAGCCCAGCAGGGGGCCAGAGATGCACAGGCAGCTGCAGGGAGGATGACTGAGGATGCCCTGGGCACCTGCCCAGTTCACTGCAGGAGGCTGCACAGATGGCCGTCACTGCTGGAGCCTGTCCCCTGAGCCCCCCCACGTTCCTCTGCTCAGGTCCCTTTGCAGCCACTTGCCTCTTCCCCAAATGATAATGCATGTGCAGGGTGCAGGGAGACCTGTGCATCGCCAGGTCACAAATGAGGACACGGAGACCAGAGACCCTTAGTGCTGGCCAAGGCCACATCGAAGCAGGTGGGCAGTGTTCTAGAACTGGCTACACAGCATTGGTCTGGCAAGGTGTTTATCCACTTCCACAGCATGTGGAGGAGGAAGATGGGGCATGGGGAAAGGAGGGAGGAGCTTCTTGAGCTTCCAGCAACTCCTAAGGCCCTGTCAGCTTCCGCCATGGCCTCAGAGTGAGTGGGCAGTGGCCATGGAAGCTGCCTGGCCTGAGGTACAACTCCAGTGACGGGCCCCCAGACCCCTGCTTGGAGCTCTGAGCTACACCACCTCCATTCTGAATCTCGGAGCTGCCACACTCCATGTGGCATGATGATAACCACTGCCAGCTGTTGCCTGGCACTGCCTGGTGCCACCTAGCCCAGGACCCTAACCTGCCCAGCTATTTACAGTGAGAAAAGAAGGACTCTGGTCCCAAGGTCTGAGCAGTCACCAGCCCTAACCCCATTGGCTTTGAGGCAGAGCAGATGGAGAACCACGACTGCAAATGTGCTCAGAAGACAGTGATGGGCAGCGCCTTGTAGCCTCAGACCCAGGGACAGACAGACGAGGCATCTGCAGTCCCACTGCAGGGCAGAGCTTCAAGCTCAGTGCTCAGCACTCAGGCCCAGCAAGCTGGGAACAGCACTGTCCCTGACAAGCTTGTCACTAGGAGGAATATGGTCCTCACCCCTAGAAGTACGAGTGACAGAGACAGAGTCACGGCCATGCGCCATGACCTCTGTGCTCTGGTCTCCTCACCTTGTGGGGTGGTGATGAAATCACGCTAACAGGTATGGGTATCCAAGCTCCATGAGTCAACTCAGGAGCAGACTGGAACCTACCTGTGCTTACGAGGATTCCATCAACAGCAGCAATAAACCTGCAAACACGCCTGAGATGACAACAAAGCTTCCAGAATTCTGTTCTAAAAAATAACTGCCGTCAATAGCTCCATACGTAAGACTTCCAGGATTCCTTTTCATTATTTGAAAAGATTTTGCTATGTAGGCCAAGCTGGCTTCGAACTTGTGATCCTTCCGCCTCAGCCTCCTGAGTGCTGGGGTTACAGGCATGCACCACACCTGGTGTGAAATCTTACAAAACTATTTTCTACTTATTTGTTTATTGTGCTTATTCCATAATGAATATTCAGCATCTTAACAATTTAAACACACAGTTCAGGGTGCTGAACACA